CTTTCTCTACCAGTGCACCATGGCACCCAAACCCAAACCAACCCAAAGATCCAAATTTCCCGACACAAACCCAACAAAAGGTGCTACCGACTCACCCTCCTGCACGCTGCAGCCACTCTCCACATACTCAGACCGCTTCCTCCACTACATCATTGGCAGGGTCGTCGTGGAGAGAGAGGGAGGGGGGGGGGGGGAGTAATGAAGAAAGAAGTGAGGTAGTCACTCATTGTCAGTAAAAACTACCGCCAATAATAATTACTGTCGAAGTGTTAAGAGAGTTATTTTGCACGGTTTAAATAGTTAAAGGGGTCGATATTACCCGGGTTTTTCGATTAAGGATATGAATCAGACGTGAGTTGTTTAAGAATTTTGAGCCCATGATGACCCAGGCCCAGGCTAACTAGTTGCCCAGTTAGCTTGCCCAGCCCATTACTAGCCAGTACTCCAGTAAAGTGCCAAGCCGCCTCCCCCACTTCGGCGGCAGCAGCAGCACCGCCGCGCAGGTCGCCGCCGCCCCCAACCTGCCCATCTCGCCACAGCGCATCCTCCCAGCTCCCGGCTCCCCCACTTCGCATCCTCTCGCTTACTGGGTTCTTCCTCGCCGTCGTCGCTGCGTGGTGCCGGGTTGCCGCCTGCCGGCTTGGTCACTCAGCGGCCCAACCTCAAGATTCAGTTTTTTTTCTCTTTTAGAGTCCATGTCAATTTGTCTAATACAAGCAGATGAGTTGTGTGATGCTGCATTCAACTTAATGTATATAAGCCATTTACGACTAGTTTTTTTAATCGATTTCATTCCTTTTGAACAAGACGTTTTGACTTTGGTCAAAGTTAAACTGTTTTAAGTTTGACTAAATTTGTAGAAAAAAAATATTTTCAAACCAAGATAAATTTATTATAAAAATAGATTCAATCATTGATTTAATAGAACTAATTTGGTATTATAAATATTACTATATTTGTCTATAAACTTAGTCAAACTTGAAGTAGTTTGACTTTGACTAAAATCAAAACGTTTTGTAACCTGAAACGGAGGAAGTAATTGGTTGCAAGTTGAAGAGGAAGAGAACATGACATATTTTTGGGTTTTATTAGAAAAGAAAAAAAAATGGCGCACTAGCTTTGAATTTGTTCTTGTGTTGCATCCTAGGAACAAAGTATCAGGCTAAACTAATGATCATCCACATTGCTTTTAAAAGAAGACCTAAAAAAATATTGATACAAGGAAGAATGGTTGGAATGAGCGCTATGACGAGTCAAAGAGCCTGCCTCAAACACAGTTAATATGGACTTCAAATATCATTTTAATCATGCATGTGTTCTGTACTTCTGTTATATCATGGTGTGCCGCCTACACATGGAGCCAGGTGGGGCATTATCCATGAGAAATTGAGAAGTGTGGCTAGGAGGAGGAAGATGAGGGGTGATTTTATTAGTGTTCTTTGCATGAATCTTGGAGCAATTTCAACCATTAAAATGTGACTGAAATTTTCTTCTTATATTTTATTGCCAGACGGCTTCATGTCCCTTATTGAGGATACAATTTGTCTTCTCATTTTTTGCAGAAGTTCGTGTTGTAGACTTAGTGCTCTATTATTTGCATTCCTGGATGCCAGATGTATGATACACACGCAGACTGGCATTGATTCCAAATGATGGCAATAAGATTGGAAGAATATGTATCTCTGATTTCCAGAACTCTGTCTTACAGCTAGGATAATATGTTGCTCTCGTACAAGAGCTAGCTTAACAAGACAAATACATTAAATATATAAGTGAGCGATATAGAGAGGAGAAGAAAATTGTAGTCAACCTTATAACTAATATCACTGTTGGAGAAACCATCTTTACTCCCGGTTGGGAAACCCCCTTTAGTCCCAGTTTTTCAACCGGGAGTAAAGATCCGGGACTAAAGATGTCTATAACCGGGACTAAAGATACATCTTTAGTCCCGGTTGATACCACCAACCGGGACTAAAGGAGAGGATCTTTAGTCCCGGTTGATGTTACCAACCGGGACTAAAGAGATAATAGCGGCAGTACCAGATGGTCCCCTTTTCTTTTTCTTTTTCCCTTTTTATTTTCTCCCGAATCAAGTAGGCAAATCCCCAAATCAAAATAACATCCCAAATTTACATCACCAAATCCACATCACAAATCATAAAGTTACTTATACACATAAATCAAATACATCACAATATCCTAAGAAATTACTCAAATACATCACAGATCCAAACAATGAATCACAAATTTGTAACTTCTCAGTCAAATACATCTCAGTGAATCATCACAAATTAAAAAAAAAAACCAATGCCGCTGCCGCCGCTCGCCACGACCGCCGAGCGCGGCCCCGCCGGCCACCGGCCGCGGCCCCTCTGCCCGCCCCGGCCGCCGTTGCTCGCCGCCACGCGCGGCGCTGCCGCCCGCGGCCCCGCCAGCCGCCGCCGCGTGCGGCCCCACCGTCCGCCGGCCGGCCGGATGGGAAAGAGAGGAGGGGGGAGGAGGAAGGGGAGAAGGGGAGGAGAGGAGGAAGGGGAGGAGTTGGAGGAGAGGGGATGAGGAAGAGACTTAGATCTGAGGAGAGGATAAGTGATAGGGATTATATACTACGTGTTTAATTTTAGTCCCGGTTGGTAGTACCAACCGTGACTAAAGTGGTGATCTTTAGTCCCGGTTATTGACACCAACCGGGACTAAAGATCCTCGGCCCCCTGACATACATCTGACAAGGGATGAACCGGGACTAAAGATCATCTTTAGTCACCAACCGGGACTAAAGATCAAAATTTTTATAACCGGGACTAAAAACAATATTTAGTCCCGGTTCTTTTTGGAACCGGGACTATTATGGATTTTGCCAGACCGACCAAAGATGGTTTCTCCACCAGTGTATGTTATATATGTTAGCTTTAAGATGGTCTAATAGTAGAAAGTGGGCTTTATTATTATCCTCGCTCTTGCGTGCGTACAGTGAGATGTACGCACTCCCATCCGTTCCCTTTCTATATTAGTTTCTATTTCCATGCTATATTAGTTAGATGTAAATCACAATTTATAATAATAATTTTTTCAAAGAAAACTAAGGCTGTGTTCGGAACTAGTTCCCAGCTCCTCCGCCTCGTTTTCCACGCGCACGCTTATATATGCATTATTATTTATATCACATCACTTGAAATATGCACAAATTGATAACATAGTAAATCTTTCTGATAAAAAGGCTACATATAAAAACATTCAATTAATTCCCTTAGTCTGAGGAATAATAATACCAAACAAGAACTCAAGTGGGTGACAAACAATCTTGAAATTGAATTTTAATCCTTGGAAAGAGAGATAGACGAAAGGCTTGAATATTTAGGTGAATATTACCCATTTTACAATATAAGTGTTTTATTTTAAAAAATGTGATAGTTCAGCAAACTACTTATTCTGAAGTATTAACTTTATATATAGAAGTTCATAGAGAGATCAAAATTTGTAGAATAATTAGTTCACTATCAAATATCTATCTCAGCTATAATTTTATTGCTAAAAGTTTATACGTGCAATCAAGGCGTGAAATTTTTTACCCGTAAGAAAGTTTGAATGACCAACAACTACATGATGTGTGACTATATATATCTGAACATTTTACAGAAACTATATATATAGATAAAAAATAGTCATCATAAAAGATTTTAACACTTAGAATAAAAAGACAAGCCCTCGCACTCGTGTAGGCTGTCTTGTTAGTTGCTTTAGTAATACAAAACGTACGTTATTAACTTGTCTTAGGGGATGTTTAGATGTAGGGGTGTAAAGTTTTGGCGTCATATTAGATATACGGACACACATTTAAGTATTAAATATAGACTAATAACAAAACAAATTACAGATTCCGCCTGTAAACTGCGAGACGAATTTATTAAGCCTAATAAATCCATCATTAGCAAATGTTTACTGTAGTACTATATTATTAAATCATAGACTAATTAGGCTTAAAAAATTCATCTCTTAATTTACACGCAAACTGTGTAATTAGTTATTTTTTTCCTATATTTAATACTCTATATATGTGTCCAAATATTTAATGTGACATGGTGAAATTTTTTTTTTCCAGTGGATCTAATCAGGGCCTAAGCTACACCGAACTTCAGGCCTTGAGTTTTAGATATTATTATTTTATGTACTAATGGGACCCACCACTTTACGTCTCTCCTACTTTCCCCAATTTTATTCTCCATCCTTCCTTTTTATGGTCTATGGATCATGCTGCTGTGGAAGGACAGTATCTCCAGAGACTCTCACCACAGCACATGCCATCCCCTCCTTCAACCAGCGGATGACAGGAGAGAAAGAAGAGAAGAGAAGAGAGAAAAGGAAAGCGGATTATAGATTTATAGCCAGCTGTAGCACGGATTTCAATATATATTTGTGTGTATGAGAGATGAGATCATATGTTAATGTTGTAGTATATGCTATAGGTAACTAATGTATGAATGAGTTATTAGATTGGATATAAATGAATTGGAGCTAGTAGTTGGCTATACTATTAAACTTGCTCTTACGTAACAATAATACTTCCTCCATCTACTTTTGATAGTCATATTTCATCTTGGCACATAGATCAAGGATAAGTGATTCTACTTATTATTTATTTAAACATGCTACTATTCATTTCTCGTAAATAAGCGATTTATTAATATTTATATTTCACGATGCGCATGTAACCAATCTTATGTGGAAGAATGAAGAGTTACGTATTAAATCTAAAAAAGCCATTAAGATGATAAGTTGCTGGATTGAAATATGTCTATAAAAATAAATTTTTCAGATTTAAAAATATAACTATCAAAATAGATGGAGGGAATATTTGGAGGGAATATTTGATAGAGGGAATAATAAGCTTCACCGCATTTGAGGCCTTAGGTTTTATAAATTATTATTTTATCATGTACTAATGGGACCCACCACTTTACCTCTCTCCTACTTTCCCCAATTTTTATTCTCCATCCTTCCTTTTTATGGATAATGCTGTGGAAGGATCATTATCTAAAAAAAAAAATGCTGTGGAAGGACAGCATCTCCCAGAGACTCTCAGCACATCCTTCAGCCAGGGGATGGTGCGATATCGATGATCCACCCGTGCAGCCGCGCCGGCGACAGCCTCGATTATTCTACCTAGCTTGATGAGGATTGGGAATTTGGAATAGCCGAGCAGGGGTGAGTAGCTAGCTTGACGCGCGTACGGGATCATGGCAGCCTCGACGGGGGTGGTGAGTTCCCTCCTCTCGAAGCTGGCGACCCTGGCGGAGCAGAAGTACGGCGACGTCAGGAGGATCCGCCGCGAGATCACCTTCCTGACGGACGAGCTCAGCAGCATGAACGCGCTGCTCCTGAAGCTGGCCGACATGGAGGAGCTGGACTCGCAGCTGAAGGAGTGGAGGAACAAGGTGCGCGAGCTCGCGTACGACGTCGAGGACTGCATCGATGCCTTCGCGCACCACCACCGCCTTAGCCGCGGCGACGCCGACCCGGGCGGCCTCATCCGGAGGGCAGCACGCAACATGAAGAAGCTGCGGGCGAGCTACCGAGCGGCCGACCAGATCCACGAGCTCAAGGCCCGGATCATGGAGGTCAGCGATCGCCGGCTGAGGTACAAGCTCGATGAGGCCGCGTCTGCTGCTCCTGCTCCGGCTCTGGCCATTGATCCTCGGTTGCCAGCGCTCTTCGCTGAGTCCAAGGGTCTCGTGGGCATCGAGGGCCCCAGGAGTACACTAGTCAGCTGGCTGATGGATGGGGAAGGTCAGCTCAAGGTTATCTCCATTGTTGGGTTCGGAGGGTTGGGGAAGACGACCCTCGCCAAGGAGGTCAACCATGCTGTGGGAGCACACTTCCAGCTCAAGGCTTTTGTGTCAGTCTCCCGTAATCTTAACCCCAAGAAGCTAATCTGCGATGTGCTCTCTCAGATCATGGACCAAAAAGATTATGGCAAGAAAGATTATGGCAAGTTGGAGGTGGAGCAATTGATTCCAATTCTGAGGGAACACCTGGCAGATAAGAGGTACTTTATTTTATTTTTGGTTTCCAAATTAAACCATATTTGGCTATAGCAATGTTCCAATCGATCATTGCATTAAGATTTGGATTTGCTATTCAACATTCAATAGAAATTTTGAGGGAGGATCTGTCAAAATTTTCAGCCTTAATTGGCATGGGCTTCAAACTCGTGGCCTAGCTCCCGCGTGCGTCACCCCCACTGAGCTACCACAACTTCTTTTTATCACTTACATCTTTCTTACATGTCTAATTACATATAGTTAAATTGATTGAAGCATTTCTAAGGAAATTTTTCGTGGAATTAATGTTAGTTAGATAGTCCCATTAAAATTTGTTTGAACCTAATCTGCAACTTTTAACTTGGGAAATTTTTACGGCCGGCACTCTCTGCTGTCAGTAGAAATGATTTACACTCTGTCTTGTTTAATCCAAGTGACATATCAAAGTTCAAACGAGGTGCATACTTAACTTAGATTGATTCATGAAGACATGATTTCCATCATTGGCTCATTGGGATTCTTTCTTTCACACATCTTGGGTCTATATATATACTCCACTTTTTGCGTGATTGCTGTAAGTACCATAATGATTGCCGGTTTCTCTACAGAACCAAAACAATACTACATGCCAGTTAATGGCCTTAATGTTTATTCCTGTTAAGGCTAGTTACTGCAAAATGTTACCACTAATTCCTTATACGAAATTACATGCATGTAGGTACCTCATAATTATTGATGATATTTGGAGAATACAAGCATGGGATCTAGTGAAGTCAGCCTTGCATGACAACAGCTGCCAAAGTAGAATAATCACAACGACACGCATTAGTACGGTTGCCGAGTCATGTTGCTCGACCTTGAAAGATCGTATCTACTACATTGAGCCTCTAAATGAAGTCGAGTCCCGAGAGCTATTCTTCAAGAGGATATTCGCCACAGAGCACGGTTGTCCTCCTCACCTAGAAGAAGTTTCCAACGAAATTCTGAAGAAATGTGGGGGCCTGCCATTGGCTATACTTAGTATAGCAAGTTCACTGGCAAACAAGCCTGACATAAAGGAACAATGGGAAATGGTGAAGAAATCCATTGGTTTTGCTCTTGAGGGAACGCCTACTTTAGAAGGAATGAATAAGATATTACTTTTTAGTTATTACGATCTTCCTACTCATCTCAAGGCTTGTTTGCTATACCTCAGTATATTTCCGGAGGACCAAGTGATTGAGAGTGACAAACTAGTATGGAGATGGATGTCTGAAGGACTAATTGTTGGAGAAATGGGTAAAAATTTGGAGCAAGCAGGACAGATTTATTTCAATGAGCTCATCAACAGAAGCATGATTGAATCAGTGGGTGTTCGGTATGATGGCAAGGTACTAGCTTGTAGGGTGCATGATATGGTGCTTGACATGATCATATCTTTGTCCGCTCAAGAGAATTTCGTTACCATATTACATGGGCATGAGGATAAATTTGCAGGAGAAAAGATTCGCCGGTTGTCCCTTCGATGCAATCGCCCAGATGTTGAAGTAACGCAGGTGACAAGCAAAAAATTTGCCCAGGCTCGTTCTATCAGCCTCTTTGGTTACAAGGAGATGCTTGATCTACAGGGCTTCCAAGCTTTGCGGGTGCTGGATTTAGGAAAAAATGTTTTGTTCAAGCAAGTGAAAAATATAGGCAAGTGTTACCAATTGAAGTATCTGGATCTCTCCGATACAGATATAGTGGAGCTTCCTGAAGAGATTGGAAATGTACAATCCCTAGAAACTCTGGACTTAAGAAATTGCAGACGACTAACATTGCCATCAACAATATCTGGGCTCAGAAAACTAGTGCGTCTCCTTGTGGATTATACTGCGGCATTGCCAGAGGAGATTTCTGGTCTTGTAGCTCTACAAGTGCTATCTTGTGCCTCCTATAACTCCGTGAAGTTCATGCAAGCGCTGGGCCAGCTGACAGAGCTGCGATCACTTGCATTCAAGTGCTGGAATCCTGACTGGTATTTTGACGCGGGAATGTACAAGGAGGTATCTGTCGCATCTCTCCGTGAGCTGGGGAAACACAAGCTTCAGTATCTAGATATCTGTGACGATGATGCTATCCCAGATGCACTAATGTGTTCGTCGTCAGAGTCAGACTGCCCGTTTCCGCACCTGCAGAAGCTTGTTCTGTCCAACCACAACATCCAAAGGATTCCAAGGTGGATTGGCTCGCTTGTCAACCTCTGTCACCTGGAAATTGTTGTCAAGACCACACGGCAAAACGATCTCGGCACACTAGGGAACCTGCCATGTCTGCTCTACCTCAAGATCTGCAGGTTGTATGAGCCCGTCGAAAGCCAGCAGCTCATTGTACCGAACCGAGGATTCCGTTGCCTCAAGGAGCTGTGCTTCCAGTGTTGGTGCCCGTTGGGGCTGGAGTTTGCCCCGGGAGCTATGCCGTGGGTGCAAACCTTCCGCCTGTGGTTCATGCCATGCTGGAAGAGCTGCGATCATGGTGTCAGCGTCGGCTTAGGCATCGAGCATCTGCTAGAACTCAAGCTTGTGGATGTTAAGACGGGCTATGGATGTGGTAAGAGGGAGGTGAAGTCATTTGAGGCAGCAATCACAGCTGTGGTCGCCAACCATCCCAGACGCCCTGCGCTCGTATTGCGTAGATCAGGTGAGAGAAGTGCAGTCAGGAAGGAGAATTGGACAGCAGTGGAGACAAACATGAACAAGTCCCTGTTTGATTCATCAACAGTCAGACAAAGATTGCAGAAGCAGTCCAGATTTCAAACTTGAAATTAAAGCTGCGATGTTCCTCGCTCCTAAGTCGTAATACACCAACGGACAGTTTGTAGGTTGTTTTTCCGGGTAGTTCCTTGCAGTGCTCAACATTTTTAGGTTTGTGCTCTGCTCTTCTATAAATGTGAAATCAAAGTGTGTTTTGATTATTATTTCACGATGAACAATTGGTATTTGAGATAATTGTTTTAATTTTCCGAGGGAACAAATAATTGGTTTTAATATTTGGACATAATTGGCGAAGTGGGTTGCTGACTCTGTGACCCATCAGACCGGTGTATGTTGTGCGGTCTGACCAGCCGGCTCTTTGTCGGTTTCGGTTTCGGGTTGTTCATTTGAATACTTGTGATTAATTCATGTTTATAACTTATAGATGGATACTATGCGTATGTAATATTGTTGTGTGCTTATATTGAGTCAAGTTGGAGAGAACTTATGCTCGGATATATTTTCTTGGTTGATTCACGTGTCGGTGAGTCATGATACCTTGGAAGAGTGTTGCCGATAATGGATCGGGAGTCAATTTGGGAGAAGATGATGTCCGGACGATCAAGATATCATACGAGATGTTTAGGCTAAAGATCAATGCATTAAAATTTTCATATGGTATATGATGGAGATATTGTGTGCGTATGGGATGCGAAGTTGAATTTGTAAGGAGTCCAAATTTGGTGTGATTGGAGTTTGTAAAGTTTGTTTCTTGCACGGGAAGGTTTCCTAAGGGATTAGAACTTCTTGTACAAATTGGATTCGTGGCTTTCGGCTACCTATCTCGGGTAAAAATAGAGAAGAGGGGTTGAGGCCTCCCGGTATCGATTTTGTGAGAGTTGAGTTTAGAGAAAAGTTATGGTTTCAAGTTTAGTCGAGATTTTTGTGAGGAGTACTGATGTTGTACTTTGTAAACACGAATAGAAGTAATAAAGTTTCAATCTACTATGAGAAGATCTTCGATTTGTGTTTGCTCAAGTTCGGCGGTTACACCGACAGGATACCAGCGGTCAGACTGGTGGCAACGCACCGGACAGACTGGCGACGGCTTCAGACGACTGTAGCGATAAGGACGGTCAGATCAGCCGATCTACACCAGTCAGACCGGTGGCATATGCACGGTCAAACCGTCGTAAGACTTGCGGTCAGACCGTGTTCTATCAAATTCGATGTAACTTTTAATTCTACTAAAGGTTTGGTTTTTTTGGTGCTACAACCATTCACCCTCTCTGGTTATCTTACTTCTTATTGTGTGATCCTATACTAAATTCTAAGGTGACTCAAACTTACCAATGGTTTGCAGCAATGGTGGCACAAAAGTTTCGAGAGATTGGTTAGATATGTACGTGAATGTATGATTCTACTTACCATCATTCAAATTGTAACCTAGAAATATTATATCTACGTGGCTGCTTTCAAATTGGAATGTAGTGATATCACCAATTTACATTTGGCGCCCAAACTACCCATGTTAGGATCCAACTCTTAAATTTAGCTCCAAGAGTTGGGTCTAGAGTTGTGGGGCAGCCTAAACCTAGCTCTAACTCTCTAATTCATTTTGTAAGAGAGCTTCACTCCCAATTTAGGTAGAGTTGAAAATGTTTGACTGAGCTTTGGAGAGATGTGTCAAACAGACCCTATGTTAAGTAGGTACTCCGTCATATCATCGTTCTGGTAATAGAAATTAAATAATCTGAATTGTAGATCTAGTTTTATCGAAGGGTTTAGATTTTTTTCTACTATCACCTCACTCATCACTTCACGGTATTAGAAATGTTTGGGGGGTATAATTGTCAAAAAAAATATTGTCGTGGAGGGGTAAAATCATCATTTATAGTTGACTAAACCTCAATCGGCCGCCGCATCCGTCGCCTAGTATCTCCTCCCCACTAGAATGGTTTCGCTAGAATGCTATCGCTTCAAAGTGATTCACCAAAATACCATTTTCGGTTATTTTTTTTAAATAGAAATGTTTTGCTCAATTTTATATTTTTTTCCCGGACCAAAATACCCCTGATGTAGGCCCCACCTGTCATACTCTCTTCCCTCCCTCTTTCCCCTTTCCACTCTCTCGAGGATGCCATCGGCTGGCAGGCATGGCGAGCTGTGGGCAGTGGCCGGTGGATCTCGCGGCCGACGTAGTCCTCATCACCGTGGAGGTAGTCCACGGCATCACCGTCCGCATCTCCGAGGTCCTGCTCGACATCGGCCTCGCCGTAGACCTCCTCGCTGGGCACGCGCTCGACGTGGGTCTCCTCGCCGCGGAACACCGTGCAGCTCCTTGTGGACGAGCTCGTCGTCCCGGCGCCCGCCGCCCTCGGGGTAACCCACGGTCCCGGAAGCCCCCCGCCGCGCGGTGGCGCTCCGCTTGGCCTCGGCCAGCAACAGCAGCTCATCTTCCCCAACTCGCTGGCTGCCCCTACTCCTCCCCAAGATGCGGTGACCAGCAGCAGCAACAACTCACCAAGACCGGAGCAGAGCACCGCCACCGCAGATTTCGAGGGAGGCCGGGGAGCTGCTCGATCGCGTCCGGGCGCGCGGACGTGAACTACGCCGGGGTGGTGTGGCTCAAGGCGCGGCGGGTGGCGGAGGCCGCGCTCGTCCGGGCGCTGCTCGTGAGTGCCCTTCCCCCCGCTCTCTCCCCTGTTTCCTGCTCTGTTCTACAACTTCGCGCGCATTATTATGGTTTTGCTAATGAAAGGGTGCTACCGACTCACCCTCCTGCACGCTGCAGCCATCCTCCACATCCTCGGACCGCTTCCTCCACTACACCATTAGCAGGGCCGTCGTGGAGAGAGAGAGAGAGCGAGAGGGGAAGTGATGAAGGAAGAAGTGAGGTAGTCAGTTACATTGCGAGTAAAAACTGCCACCAATAGTCATAACTGTCAAGAGAGTTATTCTGCTCGGTTTAAATAGTTAAAGGGGTCGACATTACCAGCTTTTGCGATTGAGGATATAAATCGGACGTGACTTGTTTAAGAATTTTTAGCCCACGATGGCCCAGGCCCAGGCCCAGGCTAACTAGTTGCCCAGTTAGCTTGCCCAGCTAGCCCATTACTAACCTATAATAAGCAAAGGTAAAAGTCCCAAGCCGCCTCTGCCACTCCGGCGGCAGCAGCAGCGCCGCCGCGCAGGTCGCCGCCGCCCCCAACCTGGCCATGTCGCCACGGCGCATCCTCCCAGCTCCCCCACCTCGCATCCTCTTTGCTTACTGGGTTCTTCCTCTCCGTCGTCGCCGCGTGGTGCCGGGGTGCCGCCTGCCGGCTTGGTGACACTCAGCGGCCCAACCTCCAGGTTCAGAAATTTTTTCTTGTCGAGTCCATGTCAATTAGTGTAATACAAGCAGACGAGTTGTGTGATGCGGCATTCAATTTAATGTATTAGCCATTTACGACTAGTTTTTTTAATCGATTTCATTCCTTTTGAACTATAAAAAGTAATAGGTTGCAAGTTGAAGAGGAAGAGAACAGGACATATTTTTGGGTTTTATTAGAAAAGGAAAAAAAAAATGGTGCGCTAGCTTTGAGTATGTTCTTATGTTTGTTGCATCCTAGGAACAAAGTATCAGGCTAAACTGCTAAACTAATGATCATCCACATTGCTTTTAAAAGAAGACCTAAAAAGTTATTGATATAAGGAAGAATGGTTGGGATGAGCGCTAGCCTCAAACACAGTTAATATGAACTTCAAATATCATTTCAATCATGCATGTGTTCTGTACTTCTGTTATATCATGGTGTGCCGCCTACACATGGAGGTGGGGCATGATCCATGAGTAGTGCAGTCAGGAGGAGGAAGATGAGGGGTGATTTTATTAGTGTTTTTGCATGAATCTTGGAGCAATTTCAACCATTTAAATGTGACTGAAATTTTCTTCTTATATTTTATTGCCTGACGGCTTGATGTCCCTTATTGAGGATACAATTTGTCTTCTCCTTTTTGCAGAAGTTTGTGTTGTAGACTTGGTGCTTCATTATTTGCATTCCTGGATGCTTGATGTATGATACACACGCAGACTGGCATTGATTCCAAATGATGGCAATAAGATTGGAAGAACACGTATCTCTGATTTCCAAAACTCTTCCTTTCATTCAACACAAGGCTATGTCCTCATATTCAACTGGTCATGGCCACAGGCCCAAGAAGAAGCTTTATCACCGTGAACCTGGCCTTGACAAGGCCATGGACCTCCAAAAGAAGCCTGCTCTCCTCCTTCGTCTTCGGGAGCTCATCTTGTCCCAAAAGACAAATTCCATCCTTATACGTTATCTTGAAAAGGAGGTTGGCTTTGTCCAAAAATGGAACTTCCTTTCACTTATCAAGCGGCATCCAAACATCTTCTTCGTCTCTGGTGGTAGTGCCTCCCGTGAGCCAATTTCAGTTACGCTCACTGAGAAGGCCAAAAAGATATCCAGTGAGGAGACCCTAGCACGAGAACTAATGGAGCCAATCTTGGTGAAAAATCTAAGGAAGCTACTAATGATGTCTTTGGACTGCCAGATTCCTATAGAGAAGATTGAACTCATCCAATCTGAATTGGGTTTACCCAAGAACTTCAAGAGCAACTTGATTCCGAGATACCCTGAACTATTTTCAGTTCGCGAGGTGAAGGGATTGGACCATTTGTGTTTGGAGAGTTGGGATTCTTCACTGGCTGTCACAGCCCGAGAAGAAAAATTGAATTTTGATGGATTCCATATGGACTGTAGAGGGATTCCTAAAGATGGAAATGTCTTTGGTCCTTTTGCTTTCAAGTTGAAGTATCCAGCAGGATTTAGGCCAAATCGGAAGTATCTTGAGGAGGTTGTCAGGTGGCAGAAGTTGGCATTTCCATCACCTTATCTGAATGCTAGGCGTGTGGAGCCTGCAACACCACAGGCTCGGAAGCGAGCGGTTGCTGTTATGCATGAGATTTTGAGCTTGACAATGGAGAGACGATTGACATCTGATTAGCTAGAAGTCTTCCATAATGAGTACAGGCTGCCATGTAAGCTACTTCTGTGTTTAATAAAAAATCATGGGATATTCTATATCACTAATAAGGGAGCAAGGAGCACTGTCTTCCTCAAGGAAGCCTATGATGATAGTAAACTTATTGAGAAGTGTCCTCTATTGAAATTCCATGATCAATTTGCCTCTCTGATCGGCCAAACATGCTCCGATTCAAATGATGTATTGCCAGCATAATGGGAGCAATAATTTACAAGCGAGAGAGACAAATCACAATGTGGCATGTGGCTGGCTGATTCACCCTTTAGTTTCTACTCAGGCCAGTGCAAACATGACTCATTTGCATGCGACCAACCATGCAAGTCCTCTGTGTGATGGATGCTTTATTCAGCTTCAAGTTTTGCATGAAATTTGGGACCCCAGAAATCAAGTGGCAGCTCAGATCTCAGCAGACAAGGCATTGGTTGTTGTACTGAAGGACATATGTTCAATTCCTACAATTGGGGCATTCAACTGTTGAAGATATTACGGTTAGTTTTCAGGGGTTTTCTTGCGAGTATTACCTTCAGCCTACACTTGAGAGAAAAAGAGAGGATGCATTAGCCTCAGTTTATACCTTAAAACTGAATTTGCTTCTCTTAATTGGATAACTGGGTGCCATTTCTTTCTTTTCTAATAAAATAATGATATAGTCAGATACTAATTGACCTTAAAATGTATTGTACTATCACGTGATTCTGCTTCCAGAAAGGTTCTTGATGTTGTTTGTCATCATAGAATGTGTCAAACCACTATACTGTTTTCGCTAGATTATGCTTGTAATTTGTTACAGTCAACATTTTGCTTATGGGTCAATTGAACTATTGGCAATAGTAGTAGTACTAATCCATTCTGCTATTGTTCTCGGTTTTTTTTTTCCCTTCATCCATACACAGGCAGAAAGTGCCTGTAAAATGCTCCACGTGTTTGTATCAAAGTTTCCTTCCATCAATTGGTTCTTGTTCTTTATTATTACTTGAAACCAACTTCAGCCATGGAAATCTCTATTGCTCTCTAGAGTTCTCCATCAGAATTCAGAAATTTGAAATACTGTATTTAGTTCACATGCTGATTATGATTTGAAGCAACTGTGAATCATCTTAAATCCTAGCTGCAACCTGACTACATAGATTAGTTTCTATTTTCTACTTTCTTGCATTACCACATTCATGATTCATCATGTGCCCTATGACAGATTGATGAGAAATATCAGTACTATATGTTTTCCTGATGCTGTGCATTAGTGGTCTTATAGTATTCAACTTGGTTCATAAGTGCATTAACCCTACCAGTATAGACCAACATTCGTCCAGTACAGTGACCTGTTTCATGCTATGTGAGCCTGAATTATGATTGCATCTAGTGGTAGACATGTCTGTACTCTAGCGGTCCATATTTTCTTGTGTTCAGTCTAGGTTTTATTTCTGTATTGAGTATTCTGTATGGAACAAGGCACAAACAAACATGCTAAACCCATGTAAATTGATTGTTAGAACTTAATTTGCAGTACCGTGATGCATAATATAGATGATAGTTGTGGATGTGCTTTCATGTATCTTTCTCTGCAAAAGGCCTGGGTGTGTTTTTTCCATGTTAACTCAAAATTATGCCATGTAGCTTGTGCATTCTTAACAATGGCCGAATTCGTTCTGCAGATCACCTTATTTCTGTTAACAAGAAAGATTTGTGTTCTTGTGCAGTTGTGCTCATGCGATTGTAGTTGACGTCTCCATAATCTACAGAGACAAATGTTGAGTGGAGGAAACACCAAGTATTGTTAACTACCAGAGAAAAATGGCCTTTCAATTACCGTATAATCTTTGTCCAGCAGGAACAGGTATGACTTAAGCCAATATGAACCTTTTTCTTAATGTCTAGTATAAATACAGCAACCAAATCTTTGCAAGTGAAATATCACCAAGCTGACGGTACTTACAAAATAAATGGTAGTTTGGTAGTTAGCTATTTGCCAGTTTAGAACAGTCATGTAACATGTATTACATATTGTCAGATTATTCTGTGGCCAGTTTGTCGTGCCAATGTTGTTTTTGTGTAATTTGTAATTACTGTTCTGTGTCAGAATTTAGACACTGATTCAGTTGTCAAGTAATTTTTTTTAATGGAATACTTTGACAGATTGGTAAAATGGGTTTTAATGACTGTCTGAAAGCTTTTAGATTAACTAGTTGCTTGGTAATGAATAATAATAAGAGATGAAATTGGTGGACACTCATTGCTGTTGATCTGGGACCATATCCTAAACATGGGAAGCTTTATTAATGGCCATGGCAATTCCTGCAACAGGCTAATAACAGTCACAAGTTTGCATCCCTTTCACACCTCCACGCTATCTTGAGTATGTTCTGATATTTGCACATCAAAGTGCTTGTCCACATAGAATTATTGGTGGGAGATGCATTAAGGATGTTTACCAATAGTTGCTTGCAACACAAAATCAACCTGTATGTAGGTGGGATCCATTGAGATAACCAGATGAACATATGCTAAGTAAAGATGGACCGACAAAATTATGGGTGGCCTGGACACATTGAAGTGAAATGAGGCCAACTGGCTGCTCCTCAATTATAACCCATGAAAGTGAGGAGCATACCCAGGAGCAGTGATTGGGACCAGATTCTGCAGACACTAAGAGAGCACCTATAAATGATAGTAGTGGTCATGATCCTGGTCAGATGCACTAAAAGCTAGATTTGGATGGGTGTTAGTGGCTGTTAGTTTAGGCAGGTCTATCCTCAAGTCATACAAATACAGTGGATGGAGACTAGAGGCCGGCCCTTTTCTGATCCTGTTTATTTTTTCTGGTAAGCATTTATGCCTTCCTCTGCAGTAGCCTTTCCATCTGATGTTACTTCCATTTAACTTATTGTGTGAACATTTATTTGGCGTCTCTTAAAATTTTTTTTGGCTCTATTATTGGCCACCAAGAGCACATGCTTTTCTTTGCCCTCCAGTCACCTTCAGCTCCTAGTGACCCGGCTGGATTTCCAATTGATGTGTCTTTCTTGTACACCAGTCTTTGCCTCCCTGTCCCTGTCCTTGAGTAGCATTACCTGTTCCATAAACAACTTTTGTGTGTGGCTGGGCCCTGCCTTTTTGAGTTGGCAACTTCCACAAAATCACAAGAGTTATCACTGCTTCAGAACCGCTTCGTTTTGCTGTCCCTTTCTCCGGACCCTGCCTTGACTTTAGGAAGCTGCCATTATCTTTACTTGTCTTTCACTTTGATTTTCATACTTACCACTAGATTTACACCAAAATATAATTCTATTATTCTAATTAGGTACATTTTTGGTTTCTTGCGTCTTATCTTATTATTGATCAATGCAGCATTAATCTCTTCATTTGTGATGACTGTCTTCTCTCCATTGATTCTTAGCTTTTAAAAAAGTTATTAAAATAGGTGCCTTTTACCTTTCTACTCTCGGTGTTTTTCAAACTCTAGAGAGGGCCGTCCCGTGAGCTGCATTGTTCAACGCCTCTTTGATGGTTGAACGTCGCAATTAGGGTGGCAGGTCCAGACCACCTCCTGTTTCTGTCATCATCTGCCTGATGTCTATCCATTAGGAGAAGAAAGCACCTCATTTGTGTTATGTAACAATTTCTCTTTTTCCTTGCTTGAATGAACAGACTGGCGCCTAGCAAGCAAAGAATCCTGATTCGAACATCACAGCCTGCTTGGCCATCGCCATCCCTGGTTCTGGACAAAATGTTTGGACTATGTATCAGCGTCATGTTTGAGTCTCATTTCTTCCTACTCCTGCCTAGCCTCTAGTAGCAAGTCATTTTTATACTTGTCTCATCTGAAGAAAGTAATGTGTGCATTTGATATATCCAGTGCAGGGGGGTCCATCTTGGCGTAGCCGTGGGTGGTGTGGTTGGTTCAGATTTCACAATCTTGGCATGTAAAGAAGGATGCCCTGTCCCTCTGCATCCAGTTCCTTGTTCTTGTAGTGTTTCCGAATTTTTCCTGATCTTTCTTTATCTCTGTGACATGTTGCCAAGTGAAGACATATCAAAGGCAGACTATTCTACGCTTCAGGAATAAAGGGGAGGAGATAATCCCAGCTGATTACTCAAGAAACGATTTTATTCCAAGTCAATCAGAGTGAGCATCTCAAGGAGCTGAATCATTCTAGCTTTTACCCCACCACCAAACCCACAAAACCGGTCATCAATTTAGGTAAGCATTTGACATAAGTTCTTGGTTGGAATAATATCCTCTTTTTTCTTTTTGCATTCATCAGGAACTGTGAAAAATTCTTTGCCTGATTCTTTCTACCATATAATACTCAAGAAGCATCATACTTTTATTAGACAATCATCTAGTGAACATTTTGAGCGATGGGGCCCTCTGAGATAGAGCGATATATTTATTCAAACATAATGTTTCGTAAAAGCAGCAAACTGCACCTAATAATTTATAATAATTGAATGCGATAATCCTGGTGGAGGTGTAATAACATGTCCAGGCTGAAAGCACAGATCAGGTTACTGTACACAGTAATGATGAGCCTCTGTTAAAGCTAAACTCCCCTTGTCAGTTATCGTGCTGTTGAACAAGATGATGATTATGACGACCATGATGGCCGCCCTAATTGCCATTTGCCAACCTATCTACTGCTAATCTAATCTAATCTACGCCTTTTGTACTACTAGTAGCTGTTAGTAGTGGTACTAGTAATTCTGAAGAAAGAAATGTGGCTTGTGCAGGCAGGGAGGCAGGCAGGGCTGCATCGTGGGAATGATAGCGTGGGGGGAGTACTGCAGGTCTTTGTACTCCTTGTCTGCTGTGCTGCCGGTTGATGGATTGGAAGCCACACCTGCTGCTGCTATTGCTAACGCTTAGCTGCATCTTTCAGTCTTTCGGCCAACAATTTTTTTTGCTTTGTTGCCATCCGTTTTTGGTCCCTGTTTCTTTTGCTCCCTTCAGCATCAATCCACCTCACACGTTCACCGCCCCTCGCTACCTCTTCTACTACCATTCGACGCACACCTCAGAAAACAAATCGTCATTTTTCTTTTTTTTTTTTTGCCTTTTGTTAAAGAAATTGACTGCTAATGCTAGGTTGCTATCCTCTGAGCCATAATTCATTCTGAAGAAAGTATATGTAAATTATTGGATCCACAAATCATATATAATATTTAGAAAGAACATATACAATTCGCTCTTCTTAATTTCGCTATTTTTTTTATGGAGCCACCTATTAGGTGTCGTTGACATATAGGTCCTTCTTGACAATCGCACTTCATTCCACTGGGCTTCATGTGGTAGTGACAACTGGTGCCACATACTCCCTCCATTTCAGGTTATAAAACGTTTTGATGTCAAACTATTTTAAGTTTGACTAAGTTTATAGACAAATATAGTAATATGTATAATATTATATTAGTTTCATCAAATTAATAATTGAATATATTTTAATAATAGATTTGTCTTGGCTTGAAAATATTACTACTTTTTTCTATAAATTTGGTTAAACTTGAAGCAGTTTGACTTTTTTACCAAAGTCAAAACGTCTTATATCCTGAAACGGATGGAGTACTCTAATAGCTATTGTTGGTTTTGTAACAAGGAACGTTTGTGTGCGTAAACGTTGTACACCGAAAACTTGTGTGCACAGGCGTAAACATCGTACACCGAAAACTTATGTGCACAGGACACGTCCCCGTGTAGCGGTGGGGGGTTGGCCGGGTTAGATGGAAGAAAACCCCTCTTCGTCTCACACAAACGGCGTGCACGCGTGGGGGCAGTGCGGTGTGGCGTGCACACTCGTGCGTGGGTGGCCAACGAAATGGGTGAGCTATTTCCTCCGCAGTATGGTTCAAGCAGCAAAGCTCATGTGGCTGCTGAGACTTGTCATCATCTTCCTTTCTTTTTTTTTCTTTTTTTTCCAACACCCTATATACATGTAATTTGTGGATTGTGAGCTCAACAATCCATACCTAACCGGGCACCGGCAACCTCCTTTTCAAGAAAGTGAGAAACGGTTAAGAGGAAATTATCTTTTGAGTGCTCGATTTCGTATGTGTGGAGACTACTGTCTCTGTTCTCTTCTACTTTGCCGTTAGGTGCACTTGTTTGATCATTACTTTTTCTAATCGTGTATTTATAAAGACAAATTGTAAGAATATAACCATGTGAAAGTGTTCTTCACGGAAAAAAAAAACTATTAATGTCATTTTATACGCCAAATCTTAGTACTACCTCCATCCTTTAATTTTTATAAATGTTGGTTAATTAAGTTTAATGTCAAACAAAAAAAACCCAGAGTACTCTTTTATATACCGATTATTATTTAAAAATTTGAGGTTTCTAGGTGTATATGTCCCAAAACGTCATATACTTCCCCGTTTTAAAATCCAAGGATTTTTAGGTGGTTTAGAAAAACTTCTTTTAGCAACTTTAGTCAATTTTAAAATTTTGAATTGGTTAGATTCCCTTTACAAGTATGTGATTGACTTTGGGGTTATTGAAGTGAGGACTTATGGAAATCAGCGCATAAATTAATTCTTGTATTGTGAAATTTGAGTGCTAAATATCCTTCCTATATTTTAGTACTAGAACAGATGGAGTATACTTTCTTCGTCACTCCTATCTAAAGATTAAGTTATTTTGAGACGGAGAAAATATTTGATAACGAATGATTGCTATATATGACATGTACTATATAGGAGCTCCTACATAATAATCCTCGAGGAATCTGTTCGTTCGGTCTTATCAAGGATGGGTCATCTGATTGGAATCAAATGGTCTAAACGAGGGTAGCTAGGCGTGAAGCTTGGAGCAATCTTACGCCATGTTTAAAAATTTAAATAAATCAAAACACATGAATTCCACACGAAATCAACTTCATTTTTCACGGAACCAAAACAAACAAAGATTACCATTAATTCCTGAAAACGAGCACCGGGTGGCAAGTATAAATAAATATACACGGGGAAATCACCACACAACTACCTCCCCACACGGCGTGGGGTGCACTTGAGTCTGTTGCTTCGAGTTAAGCCCTAGAGAGCTAGCTACAAAGCGAGAAACATATGCATTGCATCGGAAACTTGACCTATCTACAATTCTACATGTATTTCCTGATCTCCTCTCGTCTGTTAGCTAGATAGGTCGTCCTTAGCACAGTGCAGCTAGCTACACGTAGCACCGGGGTTCACTATTTTGGAATGCACAAACATTTCTCGGAGACCGAAATCTCACAAAATAATTTGATATTTGAACAAATCTTCGCTTAGTTCAGAAACAATTGCAGAGTATTTTGACATCCTACCAGGCCAGAACCCACCAGTAAAAAAGAAATTTTCGGAAAAAGATCAGGTCAAAAATCCTGAACTTTGGGGAAAGCACTGATCGTGTGATGGTGGAGATGTGCAACGGGGTTTAAATTTTGGTGGCCACGAATATTATGCACACGCAAGTGGATTTCTGATGGAAATATAGTGACATCAGGGATGTTCGTTGGTTTTTATCTCTTTGAGCATGTGCACGAGGGTGTATTCGTGAGTGTGAGTGGTGTAGCGTGTGTGGTGGTGTGTGTCTGCCATGTAATCGTAAAAAAAAATTCATAACTCTGTATCCCAAATTAGCTAGAAAATCGTGCAATATACTATTATATATAGCGATGTACTATCTTTACCGTAAAGTACAACGATTTAGACAAACCCTAGCATGTGTTTGATTTAGTGGATGGGATGGATCGGATTAATTGGGTCGAACTTATTTTTCAGAGTGTTTACGTTTAGAATAAATGGGATGGTTGATCCTATAAGGAGAATGCTCAGCAAGATCCGGGTCAACTTCACACCTTAAAAACTGATCGATCCAACTCACTTCATTTCTCTCTCACTAATATACAGGTCACACCTTCCCGTCCCTCGTAAAAACAGAACCACTCTATCTCTCATACCAACCAGATAGTGTGATCATCCTGCCAAGAGAAAATATATCCTATCAAGAGAAAATATATGGATGAGTCTAATTCACATCTAACCTCAATCACAAACCAAACGCTACTAATTAACTTAGATTTTTATTAGGACGCGGAGGTTGTATCATGCTGGGCTTGTGAATGCGTGGACCAACCGACGGATCGAGACACATACACAGGCGGGCGAGGTCACGGTCGCGATCAACGATCGTGGCGCGAGGCAAGGCAAACAGGTACAGGTGCACGTACGACCTCCACACAGTGATTCGATTAGATATGCCATTCAGTTTCTGTTGCAGGCCATGGAGGTCAGGTGAGCTCAACTCAGAATATGAATATGGCCTGGTTTAGTTCCCAACTTTTTCTTCAAACTTTCAACTTTTTCATCACATCAAAACTTTCCTATACACACAAACTTTCAACTTTTCCGTCACATCGTTCCAATTTTAGCGTGAACTAAACACACCCTATATATGGTACTCCATCCGTCGCATTATAAGTTTTCATGTCCAACGTATTTAACCGTCCGTTTTATTTAAAAATTTTATGAAAAAATTTTAAAAGTTAAGTTACGCATAAAGTACTATTCATATTTTATCATCTAATAACAATAAAAATACTAATAATAAAAATATTTTAAATAAAACGGATGGTCAAAGTTAGATATTGATACCCACATTATGGGACGGAGGGAGTACTGCTAGTCCACAATATGCAACCTTAGCTTTGACAACAAATCATGTGCCCCCCTAGTACAAGGGATCAGGGCCCCAACTTGCACATGCATTGCTTTTCTCTTTCTTTTTTTTTCCTGTTTTTATTTATTTATTTTGAAGAGGAGGGGTAGCTAGGCATCTGATCTGGAGTAGCAAGGAAAAGGGGAGAAAATGATGGGGAAAATAAAGATGGTGGGCAGGGGAGGGTGAGGATGGGTTGAGTTAGATTCTCACCAAGATAGTAGTCATCATTTGTGTCAAAAGGGATCATCCAACTTGTGAGTTGGATGGGAATTCCTTCTTTTGTTTTGGTTTTGGGAGTGACGATCAGAACAAGAATATTTGTAAGTTCGATGCCAATTTGCCGATGGTTGGGGGAAGCACATGAGCATAAATAATGTTATGCTATTTTCGGTTCTTTCAATTTACTAAGGTGCGAGAATCGGACACGTCTCATCGTTTCGCTATAATTATGCTCATCTATAGTAGCACTTCAAAAATGATTTATGGATAAAACTTCCATAAATATGTTTCTAGTAATGCAAAAGTAAATATTTTAAAAAAGACTGTAATAAAAAAAATCATAAAATCAACTTTAAAATTAAGTTTTAAAATTTAGATTTTGACTTATAAACAAAAGCATAAGTGAAACGATAGGATTGTTCGTAACCACTTTACAAACGTGTCAGATTTGCCCAAATAGGTGTGGTGGGGCTACTCTATGGGCTTCTTTAGCTTATAACCTCTCTTTTTTCCCCAAACATTTCCTAGTCTTATTTAACTTTCTTGCATCCTCCATTAGGCTACCGTGATGAGGTATTTTAAGTAGATAACCAAAGTGTATGCGTTGTTGGGGTTGATGGGATCAATAATAGAGTCATAGAATTGTGCAAATTTTAGAGGGAATGGAACCCTATCACCACCATGTCTATATATATAGACATTCTGGCATAGTTAGGCATTTCCTTTTATTTCTACTACACCACTTTTTATCCCTTTCACCTCTCATCATCCCAATTCCCTGTCCCATTGAATAGCTAGGCTGAAAGCAGAAGCGATTCCATTGGCACCAATTAATGGAAGCAATTTTCTTAACTTGCATCTTTCTGTAGGTCCCACCTATACATTAGATGTTATCGTGTGACCGTACGGTCTTTGCATACACATGACTAGTTGATGGTATCTTAAAGCACAAGGATTTAATTAAACATTTTTTTCAGGTTCCTTCAGAGTCACAAGGCATTAAGAAGGGTGGAGAGATCAGCAGATTAGCTAGTGTGGGGAGCAATGTTGGTTACTACTAGCAGGCCACCAATCTCTGCAACCATGCATGAAAAGGTGGATAGGATAAGTGGTGTTGTCCATGATTTTGCCCACAAAGAATGCTATGCCTCTACATTTGGCACACATTGCTTGGTATAAAATCATGGGATAATCTTTTGGCTTCAATTAGTAGGCCCCAATAATATAATGCATGCATGCTTGGTAGATCCAAAAGGCTAATAATAGCATATGGACATGAGAA